TATCGTGAAGACTTCTCACTGACACGCTGATAGATCCCATGCAACATCGTTCTCAAACGCACAACGCCTAGGTTCTGGCTACCTACCCTCACCATCCTATGGGGTATCGTAGCCACCTTGATGGGCATCGTCCAGAACCTTACTGGCTTCTTCATTGCCCGCTTCTTCCTCGGTGTTGCTGAAAGTGGTCTCTTCCCCGGCGTAGTCTACTATTTCTCAATGTGGTACAAGCGCCGCGAGAGGCAATTCCGCATTTCACTCTTCTTCGGAGCCGCCGCTCTTGCCGGATCCTTCGGTGGCATCTTGGCCTATGGCATTGGCTTTATGCGCGGCACTGTCTGGGAGCATGGCTGGCGCTGGATCTTCATCCTCGAGGGCATCGCCACGGTCTTGATAGCCTTCGGAGCCTACTGGTTCATCTACAACTACCCAGACACTGCTGGATTTCTCTCGGACAAGGAGCGCAAGTTCATCCACGCCCGTCTTGCCTCCGATAGCGACGCCACCCACGACGAGCGCTTCACCTGGGACAACGTCCTCCGCGCCATAAAGGACCCCAAGTGCTGGCTCTACGGATTGAGTTTTCACACCATGAGCTTACCTCTCTACACATTCTCTCTGTTCTTGGTAAGCTGATACAAAAAAAGAGAGGACATCACTTACCTGTCTCGTATACTAACCACTATCACAGCCCTCCATTATCAACGCCCTAGGCTACCGCGCCGCAACCGCCCAACTTCTCACCATCCCGCCCTATGCCTTCGCCTTCCTCACCACCCTCACCGTAGCCACCATCTCGGAGCGTCTGCACCAGCGTGCCATCTTCATCATCGGCTCCGCCATCTTCGCCATAATCGGCTACATCATGCTCCTCGCCAACAAGGACCCTATCGCCCACCCGGGTTTATCCTACGCCGGCACCTTCTTCGCCGCAGGCGGCATTTACCCCGCCACGGCCCTGGCGCTCTCGTGGCCGGCGATCAATGTCTCTGGACAAACCAAGAGAGCGGTGGCTAATGCGATGCAGATCAGTATCGGCAACTTGGGTGCGGTGCTAGGGACGCAGTTGTACAGGAGTGGTGATGGACCGAGGTATATTGTTGGTCACAGCTTTGCGCTGGGCTATCTGGTGGGCAATGTGATTGTCTCGAGCTTGTTGTATTTTATTTTGAGTAGGGAGAATAAGAGGCGGGATGGAGTTGCGCCGGAAGTGGAAGAGGTTGGGCATCTGAAGGATTGGGACGGGGATGAGGATCCCAGGTGGAGGTTCCAGTACTAGTGGGTTGAGTTGGGTTGTCGTCTCTTTGGTGGTATTGTCGGGATAGAGCGGGACCGCTGGAAGGTGTTGATGATAGTACATGAGTGTTAACGCAAAAATAGATGGACGACAGAGAGGGAGAAATGTTGGAATGTGGTGCGGAGTTTAGCCGCCGCTTGGTTTTTGGGAGATTACGTTGAGAGATACCCTTGATGTTATAGTCTATGCGTTATGAATAGGAAGTTGGTTTCGTTGTCGATCTTGAGAGTGCACTGACTGTAACTGTGAGTTATAAGTCATGATCGAGATCAGCGCAGGGATGAAGGAAGAATAGACCTCTTTGGGCCTGGGAAACGCATCGACGCATTGACATCTGGATATGCTCGATCGAAATATCGAAGTGAAAGCATACCTAGGGAAATTGTCTCGGCGACATACACAATAGAGTATAAATGAGGTTCTTATGGGAGACCTGACTGATAGTTAAGTGAGTGGGTGTGTGCCAAAGTTCATGATCGACCCCAATGTTATGGAGAGAAAAGAGGAAGAAGCCGATATTGGTTTGTGAATTACTCCACGATCCGGCGATGTTCGGGTGAAAAGTTGAATCGAGAAGATCCGGAACCTTTAGTGATAAGATCTAATATAGCGTAGTCTATAAACCCTGTTGATAGTAGTAGACTATGAAGTGAGGTGAGTCATGATGTACGGGTTCTTGTCGATACACTCAACAATTGAGTTTGTCATTTCTTGTGAATCCCTTTGAGGTCCGGAAAAATTCGGGTCAAGATATTGAAGGACTAAGCATCAAACAATCTGATAAGAAGCATCCATGGGGCAATTAGCGTCCTAGCTATAACGAAAGATCACTGAATGATACTTGTGGGTCGTGAAGTTGAGATCTAGTCTAATATAGGTTCTGTTTCGCCTTGCGGTTTTCTTATCCGGAGATGGTTGGGTGCGAAAGTTGGGCTCATGAGGAGCTGGAGATTGATCATACAATTTTCTTGACGTAGGAAAACCGGTTTGGCAATGACGCCCTTTACAAGAGAAGTAAAAGTTTGTTGAGGGATCCATGATTTTCGTCAAGGTCCGGAGATGGTCGGGTGAAAATGTTGGGTTCGCATACCGGAGATTTGGGCTATAAGATTTCCACGATATAGAGTAGCAGCCCAATGCGCGATGATTGCAACGGAAGGTCGCCCATTGGAGGTCAGCAAGTGAGTCACGAAGCCTATATCGCGATCGAAGTATCATCGAAGAACAAAAGGTATGTTTGAGCTTGAAAATTCTGTCGAAAGTTCGGAGATGATCGGGTGAAAGCACTTTGGTCGAGAACATCGGGGCTACCGCGAGGGCACTCCTCAGCATTTCATGTCTTACGGCCTCGGCCCCGAAGATCACTTTGGGTAAGTGGACTGATGGAGTTTGTTCAGAAACACAAAACGTCTTACCTTACCCTTCGAGACACTGAGTTGAGGATCAGAGAAACCCGATCTGTTTGAGACTTTGAGGCGACCTAGCACAATCGGGGGCGCTGTATTCCACAATGATGATGATAATGACAATGAGATGATGGCATTTGGAGAGAAAGCGCTCATCAACTATGCGTTCAGCCGAGAAGAAGATTTGATGAAGCACCAATGGTGTTAATCCTCGCTGAAACCGTGCTCCAGCCGATGAGGTGATATCGGTTTGACAGATGTGTCTCTGTATCCTATCTTGACTAAACAGTGTATTGTGTGTTTCTTCTTCTCTCCACTCTTCTTTCATTCACGCACGCACACGCAGTCGCATTGGATGACTGGTCGCACCGCATTGCCAAAGAAGAGGTAGCCGAGATGTGGTGAAACAAGGGGATGTGTGGTCGTGTAGGCTAGGTTTCGTGGTGGCGTCTGCCGCTTAAGCCCGCCAAGCTCGCAGTTCAGGGGGGTGATGTTCAAATCGGTTAGATTCACGGCGTTACTGTCTCACTAAGAGGGCGGGTAGGAAGCCTGTCCGTGGTTTCTAGAAGGGCGGGAGAAGATTAGGGCGGGTAGCATAGCCGACAGGTTGCAACGCGTTCCTCGCGGAGATGAGATGTTGAAGAGTTTTCCATGGTGACATAGTTATGGTCAGTGATAACAGTGTTCAGACGACGACATTCAGCATTCAGGCTCGAACGCCAAGGGCCGAGACTGTTCACTAGAGAAACTCGGAAGATCAGCAGCAGCATATTCAAACAAAAATAGTGCAGTGTAGGGACAGGCATAGATCCATGAAACCAGCAACTGATCCGAGCAAGCATGTAGCTTCCATACGGATGGAGAGCTGCGAATGTTTTCCAATCACATCTCTTCGATCTTTCGATGACTGTTTGCGGTGGAGTTTTGCTGAGCATCCAGACTCTGAAAGATCCACTGTCTTGAGGGCGAAGTGCAGCCCAAGCTTCTCGTGATGTTCCGTTTGGGGCTTGCTGCCCTGTGGGGGGGGTGTTGCCATGGGTTTGGTCATGAAAATGGTATGGCGGTTGCTGGTCGGGTCAGTGCCTTTGTGTGAATTTTGTTGCAAATTGGGAATACGGGGATTCCCACTTGGGGTTGTCGATGCCTGAAAGACTGAAGTTCTCAATTTGCGCACCCATGTTTTCCGTCACTGAAACAGCCAAGAAGGGTCGAGGGGCCCTTCAGGCTCCAAATCTCCGGATCCACTGAGTGGCCCGTGTGTCAGTCCCAACAATGCGCGTATGTGTACAGTGCACGTGACTTGGTCAGGAACCGCTGCCAATGTTTGGTGGAGATCTGCCGGCAGCCCTGACAGAGAGTGGGGTTTTTGTTTCACAGCCGACGACAGAACACGACGGGTTCCTCTTTGACTTTTCTTGCTCTCTGCCAATTCACGCCAATGCGAATTCTGTACTCACCTATCCCATCCACCCACCCTCTTTGTAGTGTACGTACCATCCTACGAAGCTGAAATGGAACGGCCGAATGCGACCATCAAAAGCACCGGTGCTACATATAACGGGATAGCACTACGGACAACACCGAGAAATCAGGAAATCGGGAACCGGAGATGATGGACCAGTGTGGAGGACGATCTCCCATCCAGGTACACACTATGGACCAGGGCATGACAGCTTCAAACAGGGGCACGACAATGGGCGGACGACGTGGAGACTTGGAAGGGTCAAGGGCCCGGATGCCGGGATGCGGAAAGCAGAAATTGGAATTTCCATAAAAGCACTGGGAAAAGAAGGAGAGACGGGGCAAGAGACTTCACACTTCACAGTCGTCATCATCGACACAGACCTTAAACCTTTAAACGCCAACTCCCCCACACAAACATCCACATCCCCTTTTCCTCCTTTCGGTCTAGATTTTTCATCATACCAGTTTCATCATACACTTTTCTTTTTCACTTCCTTAGATTATCTCCTATTTCATCTTAATTGTCCTGACCCCATGCCATTCGTTTGATCTCAAGGGGCTCTCCTACTCGGTCTTTTCCCAAAGAATTTCCATATCATCGACCACCCGGTTCAACACCTACGATAAGTACCATCTGCGGATTCCAGCAACAACATATCTGGGCCTACATTGGATAGGACCATTGTGTCGACAGCTATTTCACATTTCCCTATCTGGAGGATTCGAGTGAAATTGGTCACCACTTCCCCCGGATTCCGACATATATCCGTCTCGTCTCTTCCCTCCCGGTTCCTGTGGGTACCACCTCTCTTGGACTACTAGGTATCCCACACATGGCGACAATTCAGCCGCCTCGAAGCAGTCTCCCGGCCGGGGCTGAGCCTCCAGCACCCCCTTCAGCCAGACTAGACTCTTCCGACTCTCACACCATCACATCCACAATGGCCGGCGACGACGGTCAGATAGACCCTGCCCAACGACTACCGGACCAACAACACTTCAATGGCAGCACCGAGAAGCCCCGGCTGCCACGGCTATCCATCGAGACCCTTCCTGAGCTGGACGCGATCCCCACGCTCATGTCGCCTCGTCACAACACCATGAACCCCTTCCGGCGGGTACACAACCCTCTAGAGATCGATGACTACTTTGTATGTCTCACCATATTCACCCCTTCCTTATTCACTTCTCAAAGCACTACTAACATAACCCTTTCACGATTCCAGACTGGCCCTCGAGACACCCAAAAGCACTCAAAATGGCCTCTCTTCATGCAGATGCACGGCAGTATCCTGCCCAAGATGATGCTACCACTCCTCGGAGTCGGCGCCTGGACCACTATGCTCACTGTGATTAACTTTAAAGTGACAAACTGTGCGTTGCAACTGTCCCCTTTGCCTATCCTGTCTCGATCCCAAGCGGAAGCTAACATTCCGTCCCCAGTGGGTATCCACAACATCCTTCTGACGGTCCTCGGTTTTGTGGTTGGTATGGGTCTGTCTTTCCGCAGCTCCACTGCATACGAGCGCTATTCAGAGGGTCGCCGTTACTGGGCTTCGTTGCTCCTGGCGTGTCAGACTCTTGGTCGTGTCTACTGGGTGCATGCCAAAGAGCGGGAAGGCGAGCTAGGGAAGAAGGACGTTTTGGCCAAGCTGTAAGTCAAAAGTATTTCCGATCCGCAAGTTTCATTGCTAACGTGTTCCCAGAACTGTGCTGAACCTCCTGGTCGCCTTCTCTGTGGCTCTCAAGCACCGCCTCCGCTTCGAGCCTTACACCTGTTACGATGACATCTCCCACCTCGTTGCTCACCTTGACACCTTTGCCCAGCGCGCCACCGAGGAGGAGCCGGATAAGACCCTCAAGTCCCTCCAACCACCCGGCTTCTTCAAGGCAGTTGGCGAGTACATTGGTGTTAGCTTCGCCGCCTCCAACCCGCGCAAGGTGATTAAGAAGGCATCTCGCCCGCTTGGCAACCTCCCCCTCGAAATCCTTTGTTACCTCGCCACCTACACGGACGAGCTGATCGCCAACGGTCAGCTGCCCGTGCCCATGCAGCAAACGCTTGCTTACAACAACATGGCGATCCTGAACGACGTCCTGGTGGGTACCGACCGTGTGCTGTCCACCCCGCTCCCCATCGCCTACGCCATCGCCATTGCGCAAATCACCTGGGTCTACATCCTCCTTCTTCCCTTCCAGCTACTGCCCACGCTCAACTGGATCACGATTCCGGCCACCATCGCAGCGGCCTACATCATTCTGGGCCTGCTCATGATTGGCAGGGAGATTGAGAACCCGTTTGGTCGGGACGTCAACGACTTGCCGCTGGAATCGTACTGCGCGCAGGTTGCCGAGGATATGGACATCATTGCCTGCCAGAAGAAGAGGACGACGAATGCCGACTGGATTGAGAATATCGACAACAAGCCGCTGTGGCCGCTGTCGAACTCGGGCTGGCAGGTCTGGATGAATCGCGGAGAGGACGTGATTCGCGAGGCGGTCCACCAGAAGCTGGAGAGCAACTTTGAGACGAGAAAGGAGTTGGACAAGTTGCAGAGCGAGATGAGCCTGATGGACAAGGTGAGGAGGATGAGCAAGGCGACGGGATGCAATGTATGACTTGATTTTGGCAGCGAGTTGTCTGAGTTGGTGGTGTTATTGAGAAGGGAAGCGAGCGAGAGTGAATTTTTCAAATTGTCAAAAAGGGAAGCGAGCGGGTTGTTGTTATTATTGTTGGACTTTCGGTTTTGTTTCCTTTCTTTTGTCTTTTGTCATTTCTTGTTTTTTTCTTCGTTTCCGGCGTACATGACTTGGCCGGACTTGATTTGGGATCTCTTTTTACATTCATGGGTTATGGATCGGTCTTCAAAATGGGGGCATGCAGTGCGGTCTTCCCACGGTTATCAAAAAAGGTTGGGATGGCTGCGGTGTCTTCAAAAGTTGGATGATCTGCTTTTTGGTTCACTTGATCCGATAGAGTCGGATGGCGACACATGGCATGCGTAGAATGATGGAGGAAACAAAGGCATGCAGACATCTATGTTTTGATTTTTTTTTTTTGTTCTTTTTTTTTTTGGATACCACAGCTTGGATAGATACCCCAGGCTTTGAAACTTTTGGATACCTATTCAAGGAATAATTAAGCGGAGGAGACATGATTTGGTACAGATACAGAGAGACTCAACTCAGAATGCAAAAAAACCATATACTCTCTCATCGTTTATCATTCTATCGTATGTCTTGATCATTTCTGCCATGTGATATCATGCCTCATAAATTCGTAACGCTCGATGCAATCATAACAAAGTCGTGACAAGGAAAACAAAACATAACGTTAGCTCAGAGAAAAGAAACGTACTACCTCGTAACATCCCTCACATCCCCATCTTCCGCATACTCCCCAATCGAGTGTTTCTCCCCCACATGATCCACGAGACTTTCCTCCCTCTTACAAACCGTATCCCTCTCCCGATACTTTGAGCACAGGCAACACGCAAATCCGCCCCCTTCCCGATGACACTTGACGAAAAACCTCGTCGTCAACAGATAACTCCTGTACTCCACATCTTCTTGACCCGTCCGCTCGTTGTGCGTCACGACTTCCTTATCGACCCTCCACGGTCCCCGCTGCACGACTTCGACGGGGTCGAACAAGTGCGCGTGGCAGTCGGGGCAGACGCCCGAGGAAGCCAGTGAGGAGTCCAGCGGTTGCCCGGATTGTTGCAGGTACGTGGCGTATTGGCAGTAGATGGAGTTGTGGTAGGTTAGTTGCTTGGGGATTCCATTTGATGAGTGCAGCGAAGGGGAGCGCGAGTGGGAGTGAGACTGGGAGTGGGAGTGGTGCGAGTGGGCGACGGAGCCTCCGGTGCCGCGTGTGCCGCGGGTGCGAGTGTGGGTGGTGGTGGGGTGGTAGGAGGTGTCGTAGTCACCGGTGTTGTAGTAGTCTCGGAGGGAAGGGGTCGAGGAGGTGCGCCGGACAGGAGCGATGGGGCGGCTTTGGCTTCGGTTGGAACGGTAGGATGGGGCTGGACGGGGTCCTGGAGCGGGAAGAGCCCGGTCTATGGGGGCGGATTGGAGAAGACGCTGGTACTGGTCGCGGAGAGCGCGCATGCTGCCTTCCCGGGCAAACTCAGAGGCGTTGTAGAGCTTGCGGATGTCTGGGGGCTCGCCGGTGTAGAGGGCTTCTTCAAGCATTTTGATGACGGTGCCTTGGAGGGTGATGATTTGGCCTTGAAGTTGGGTTTGGGCGAGCACTTGATGATGATGTCAGTACGACTGTATCTTCTTGCTGAAAGGTCATGAAGGTGATGTGGAAGCTTACAGTCACCCTGAGCAAACTGAGGCCCCATCCTTGAGTAAAGCTGATCATACTGCCCTTGAACCAGCGGACCGCCACGCCGAAGGGAGTCTCTTAGATCTTCTTCGTCTCCCTCCCTTTGGTTTCTATGTCGAGAATTATGGCGCTCCTCGACCTCGGACTTGCTCTTCACAGCCTCATCCAGTCGCTCTTCCAGCTCCTTGATCCTTCGGTTTTGGCCCCTGTCCATCTTGCGCTGTCTCCGTTGCCTTCTGGCTTCCCCAACACGATCGAACAGGTTTACGCCGGTGGTGAAGGTGCCGGCAATGGTAGATATGAGGGTTGCGAGGATGAAGCTTTGCTTGATCCTCCTATCGTCGATTGCTCCTGCAGCCTCCATCTTGCTGAAGTTGTGGTGGTGGTGGTGTTGGTTGTTTGAGGTTGGGTTACGGTTTGGGAAAGAATGCGCTCGTAGGTAGAGAGCTCACAAAGAGGTTATGAGATATTTAAGAGATATCGTCGTGGGTTGGGGTTCAACTTGAGGGATCTTCCTTTTGCGAGCTTGGATTCCAGTTAAGTAAGCCTTCTTGGCGCTCTTTTGAGACGTCTTGGGAGTCCCGAGAGCCCGGCTTTTAGAGTTGTGACATGAAAGTCTCGCAAGATCTGCAGGTCGAGGCATCATAGTGAAGGTGAGGGAGGGTATCGGCATGGGATCAAGCTTTAACAAAACTTAATTGGGTTTCTATCCAATAGTTCCTGTGTGCTGGCATGCACAGCTGCGTAATGGTGCCTTCGGGTTACTCCATGGAGCTTTCTCACGAGACGTTTGGTGAGAAAACGGGTGTTTTTTTGGACTTGCAGCGATGTGAGCCAAGGAAAAGATGCCGTTCCTGAGTGCAAAGACAGCGGTGAGTGGTCCAGTGACGTCAGACCCGCCGGGGCTTCTTCGGCACTCCAACAGTGTACACTACATATCGACAACACCATCTACCAGTAAACTCCAGTGATCCCCTTCCGCGTCTAAATTATCGTCGGTTGGGCTTGATTGAAATGAACCTTCATTTTCGGGCGATTGGAAGGATTTCTTTCTTTTGATATACCTTGTAATCTTGACTGCCGAGAACCAATCGATCTTTCCGATTGTGTGCATAAAGGGTCCTTCTTGCGCTGTCACTTGATGCCTTACAAAACACCGCTCTTTAAACGCTTTCCCGTCTCCAGGTCTGCAAAGCACTGCATCATTCGAAATGGTACCTACCTATATTTGTTTCCTGCCGCCCTGTGGTGATCATCAGTGTTTGTCAATCACGGCCATCGGCATCTAATGACGCCCATCAAAATGTTAGTACCGGATCTTGTGGAGTCTGTTCGCCGGGCGGGGGTAAGCCTTGTTAATGAAGTCGGTTCCGGTTGTATTACGAGCAATAAGATATCTTCACGATGGCTTCATCTGAGACAGAATACACAGTCCACAAGGTCTTCCAAGGCTTCTTGATTGATTAATAATGACATCTGATGGCACACACGGAACAAGACACCATCACCCCCCTCAACGATGACTCTCTCCCGCACTAACACTTACAACCCCGCGCTCCCGTTCCTATCACCGAATGTAACGCCCGAGCGAGCTCCAACTCCATTGTAACATTGGATCCCCTCTCCAGGAACCCACCCGTCATTGAGGGCAGCGTCGTCATTGTCAGCTTACGCAAGCCACGGTGTAGCACAGGCTCCAGAATGTGATGGCGTAAATGGAGATGCGATAAACACTCAGGAACCAGCTTGTAAGAATGCTATGGTCGAGTACCATAGTTGTTTGCTCGTAATGGGAAAGGACTTGGGTTGGTCTCGGGCAGATATGCGCGTCGCTCGCTGAAGGGTTCCGCAACGGCAGGCTTGAGTGCGCCTCTAAAACCCCGACCTGCACTCTATCCGGTCTCTATCCCAGAGAGAGCAAACATTGACCTTCACAACCAGATACAAACTTCGAACGAGCCAGGGCCTCCCCTGGATATGAAATTCAACACCAAACGGATCATAGCGAGCCCGGCTGTATACAGCCTCCTAGGTTGATAGATGTAAAAAGTTATACCACTTTCAACCCCTTGGGATCTCCAAATGAATGCCCCGTCACGCCACTTAGGACTAAGTGAATTGCAGCGTCTCCGACGTCGCCGAGCACAACCGAGCTAACTTGCATGTCGGCTGAACCTTTGACACATTCACGCATAACCACCATGAGCAGTCATCATTTATCGTAGATCACTTGACCACCTTCAGAAGAGCTTCGCTACAGGTAGGTATTTAGACCACCTTTTCCTTGCTCAACTCCCAAGTTTTCACTTACCCTGTTGCTAAATAGCACCTCCTCATCAGCGCCCCCCCGCCGAGACGCCCTTCACCACCACAATCACTTTTAGCGCCACAAACACTACATCTCACCATCAAAATGTCTACCGGCAACTTCAAGTTCGAGGCTAAGGGTCACAACTGGGTCCAAAACGACGTTTGGACCGCCGTCGACGGCTACACCATGGGCCAGCTCCACCCCTCCAGCAAGCCCAACGCCTCAGCCCTTCAAAACGCCCTTGATGCCTCTAAAGCCGCCGGCCTGCCTGACATCTCGGCCTCTCCGGCTCAGAGCAAGTTCATGGCTCTCCAGTGCCGCGTCCTGGGCGTCACGCACGCCCTTGAGGTCGGCACTTTGGGCGGCTACTCGGCCATCTGGCTCGCCAGCGAGAACCCGCAAATGAAGCTTACCACTGTGGAGTTTGACCCCCACCACGTTGAGGTGGCGCGCAAGAACATTGAGTACGCGGGTTTGTCGGACAGGATCGAGGTTATTCAAGGATCAGGATTGGAGGTGTTGAACCAGCTGAAGAAGGAAATTGAGGAGGGCAAGAGGCCCAAGTTCGGTTTCTTCTTTATCGATGCCGATAAGCCAAATAACCTCAACTACTTCAACTTGGCGGTGGAAATGGCGCTGCCCAAGGCCATGATTTGCGTGGACAACGTGGTGCGTGGAGGCAGGTTGATTGATCAGAGCTTGACAGAGCCCAGGGAGACGGCGGGCAGGATTCTGGTAGAGGGAGTGGCCAAGGACCCGAGGGTTGAGTCGGTGGTCATGCAGACTGTGGGCGAGAAGAGCTACGATGGATGTCTTTGGGCTATCTTGAAGACAGATGCTTGAAATACCTATAATTGGGAGTTGAAGTCTACGATGTAATGAGTCATGACAGTGGTGGGGGACTTGGAAGCGTGCAGGTCCAATATTGATCAAGCACTCGATTAAATAGTGTGCTGCAATGAGAAGGAACAATTTGAGATCGCCTTGAAATTTCCTGGAGC